TGTTTACAATTTCACCCCAATTTGGTCCCTGAGCTATTATTTAACAGAAGGACCAAGTTGGGGTTAAATTGGTAAACAGTAGGGACCAAGTTGGGGTTAAATTGGTAAACAGTAGAGACCAAATTGGGCATCTGTACAATAGTTTAGGGACTAACTTGGGAGTCTGTACAATAATTTAGGGACCAACTCAGGGTCCGTACAATAGTTCAAGGACCAAATTAGGGATTTCTTTAGTTTAGGGACCAAATCGGGGGTCCATACAATAGTTCAGGGACCAAAATAGGGGTTTAACCAAAAAATTCCACCATATCTTACCAAGTATGGCAGACTCAAAGCAAGCTATGACTCATTTTACAATTTAGAAAGTTAAATCATTCCCAACCAATCCTTCTAATTGACCCGTGCTAAGGCATGAATGATAAGATCCAAGTTGGTGTCCCTTCGAAGACGTCATAAGGAATGCTACAATGAGAAAATGATCATCAGCCATCCAATTTCCTTTCTAACTTGTGAAGGATGTGGAGTACTTTTCCTCAAAATCTAGTGAAGGTGAAGAAATCAGCCTTAAGCCCAATCATGTGCCTATTCCAAAGTTAAGGTGGGCTAATTATCCTTCATCATCATTTGAGTCCCTCTTACCTACCTTGGTCATTGAAGCGACACCTAGTGACTTAGATGCTCTTCTCAAGGTTATGGGCTTAAGAAAAGCCATGGTTGAAAAGAATGCCTAAATCAAAGAACTCTAAAAACTCTTGACAGCTCAACACTTGTCAAACCAAAATAACCTAGCAACATCAAGCTCAATCATTGAGAAAACCCTTGAAAACAAGGAGGACTTGTTGAAGACTTCAGATTGAGGTAAGCAAGTTGCCATGAAGGAAAGCTTGGAGCAACAAAAGCAAGAGTAGCTAGATTGAATAGTTCTCCAAAGTGCTTTTCGAGACTTTACTCATGCTCTCATGGCATTTCTTACATATCCACAACTTAAACTTTTGGTTGATGATGTGGTTCAAGCTCAACAAGGTAAGGGATGCACCAAATACGCACTACTCTTAGGTAAGTGAACCTAATCGATTATGCAGTATAAGATGAGTAAGATATCATTCCCTTGAAGAGTATTCTACACTACCAAGATGATATTAATCTAGCCTAAGTTGAATTAGTCAATTAATTAAAGAAAGTTAAGCTACTTAATCTAAGGGAATTTTCTGAGTAAAAGGAACTATGAATGAAAAGGAACTAGGGTTTAGATTTCATTTAATTCTAAATTATGTAGTGATTTAATTAATCTAATTCAAGTTCAAATAAAAATGGTGTCACGCCCCAAAACCCAAATCCGGGGGCGTGGCAGACACCGTGCACTCGTGAGAGGGTCCCACAAATGCACAAGACTCGAAACTTACTGAGTTCATACTTAGCAATTCAGGTAATTCAGATCTAAGCCTTTTTAATTACCAAATATTTACCAGTCAGATGTACAAGATTTATCATTTCATATATACAGTCATGACTAGCACTAAATTCTATACACAAAATTTTCTATGTCAAGCATGGGTGACTAACGGCTTAGCTACAAAAACCTAAGTCCAAAAGTGCCTAGCCGTCTAGCTCGTCACTCCCCCGGGCTTCCCACGCGTCGGGTCTCACTACCTGAAATGGTGGACAAGGAAATCGTGAGATAAAATATCTCAGTAAGTAAACATGGGTGCCCGAAATCAAAATTTAAAGCATGCCAAATAATCGGTTAAAACATAAACAGAGCGTTTCAATAACAAACCATAAATGCAAGGTAAAATCACGTAGTGGTCTCCTCTATTAGTCATGGCCAGTGTTATAAACCTCCCACTGGCAGGCTACAAAAATTACTAGTGTATAATCCCCACTAGTAGGGCCATGAGCGAACCGGTTCTATCACTAACATGTCGACATGTGCTAGCGTTTATAAACCTCCCACTAGCGGGCACACGATTATCACGACCATATTGGAGACAAAACCAAGCAAACTTTACAAACAAAACCGAAATTCACAATCGTTCTCACTTTCAAGAATAAATCAAAAGGATCTCATGTGGGTATGCTTAATTCTAGAAATAAGGAAAATGATAAAAGTTTAATTTCCCTTTTCAATCATGCTCAAATGTGAATAAATCCATTTAAACCTCGCCACCATCTCAGAAAACAATTAAAATATGCTTCGAAAATTTAAGGGCATTACCACGATTTACTTACCTTAATCACGCAGACAAAAGGCTTAATCCAAGAGCTAGGGTCTCAGGGCGATCAAGGACCTAATCACAATATTCCCAAATTAATATCTATAAGGAAATTCATTCCTTCATTTATTTTCATTTCTGCTTTTCTATCCGGAAATTTAGCATTCATCGGGATTGGGTATATAAATATATAATTACACATATACAATTTTCAAACTCATGGACAAGAATTTGGGAAAACCAGCCTTGACAAGAAACGGCCAATTCACAGAATTCTCCCCTTTTTCTCTTGGACATACACACAATAGCCAAACCCCCTAATTTCCTACACAAATCATCAACCAAAACCCATTTTCAAATTGTCAACACTCATCCCTATTTCAACAGAATTTTTCGGACAACCAAGCTCATTTCATACAACCACTTAAACTCACAAATCAGCCCTTAATCAACCAATCTTCGGAGATTAAAGAAGTCAACTTACCAGAAATGCTCAACAAGCAAAGGTGGAGCTGCAGATTGAGGGGAAGAGCCGGCGGGAAAATGGGGGAACTTTCACGGGGCCACTAGCAATTAAAGGAACAACACGATTAGAGTGACCCAACATAAATCAAGGCTAAAAAGAGGAGTTTCTGGGCTGATTTTACCAGGAAAGATAGGTATTCACTCCAGCAACACCGGCGGCAGAGGGGGCAGAAGGACAGCAGATCCGGAGAAATTTCTGCAAAGGAGAAGATTTCTAAGTCCTAAACTTGTTCTTGAGCAAGAGAGGAACAAAAATTATCAAGTTCTCTTACCACTTTTCAGGTGGAGGCTTCGGTTATGGCTGGTGATGCTCGGCTGCAGGGAGAAAGGAAAACAGAGCAGACACGCGAAAATGCTGGGGGAAGAAAGAAGGAAAGAAGAAAAAGATAAAAAGGAATGAGTCAGCCGGCCTTATCCAATAACCTTTTAACCCCTTTAAAGTTTGAAAAATTGACAATTAGGTCCATTAATAATGTTTTCTCACTATTAAGTCCCTAACTCAACTTATATGCTCTAGGAAATTTTGGGGTATTACAAATGGTATCACATGAGATGGCAGATTTCCCTCAATTAATTAATTAGCTTTCTCAAGTCAAGTTAATCCTTCTCTTGCTTGTTAAATTAATCATATCTCTATGTAATTTAAAACAAACTAGTGAGCGTTAGATTCTATAGAAACCTTTAGCTTAAGAAGAGGGAGCTCTTAACTTTCTTCTTTTCTTCCACTACTACATGTGATGTTAATTACCTTTTGGTCTCATAGTACACATGGTATATATTATTATCGATCTAATTTATGCAATTCTTTCTCAATTTTATGCACAAATCATAAATCAATTGAAAGGTGATCAGGCTTTCAAAGCATTAAGTTCAGCAACATAAATTAGCATGTGAATAACCAATAGGTCTTGAATTAAATTAAAATCAATCACATAATCCAAGAATTAAAATCCATCTACCCCTAGTTCAAGTAATTTAGCTACAAATGACCAAGTTTAGAACAACCATAAAAATTAAAGAGAAAATCCAGCAAAAAAACAATGTAAAAGTGAGAATTAAATAAGAATAAGAGCAAAGCCAAACTACTACTTGGGACTTCTCTTCCTCAATTGTGTGTTGTTCTACTATGGACTCCATTGTCTGCTAAGAATGCTAATTCCTCAAAGTAAGGTTGGAAAAGAAGAAACTCGAAAGGTTGCATCCCTTTTCCTCTACAAAGTTGCTACATATATCATATGCCTTTTGCTTCACTTTTTCCTTTTTAAACCCCGTTGTTCTTCTAGGGCTTATGAGTTTTTGGACCTAAATTGCTGCTAGCCCACAACCTTGATGCACCTTAATTGGATAAGATCAGCCCCCCTTTGTAATCTGCCCAGTAATTTATGTGTCAGAACTGAAACTTTGAACTGAAATTGCAACTTGAATATGATTGAACTGGGTTGAGTTGTAAAAGATGAATTGTAGCTTTACTTTTTAGCTTTCCAACACCTCAAAAATCACCTCAATCCAATAGCTAGAGAAACAATTATGGTTGAATTACTACTATATGCTCAAACTACTACTAGTTGAAAACATTAATTCATATTAAATATGCTCTTTAATCTTCACCAACAATACAATAAGATTAATGTAAATTTAGGTGAGACTAAGTTATAAAATACCTATAAAATTAATTTCTAAGCTAAAAAAGAGTAGGTAAATATATATAAGACTTAAACTTATTAGTGAGGCCTTATAATCCTCACTTGTGTATGTGTTGACGACCACTTAAGATTTTTCAAAATAAATGAAAAATTAAGTGTAAAAATATAAAAAAGGGAGAGTCGTCACTCGTCCAAATTATAAGGTGGGATAAGTCACCTAAAACGGGTCTACGCAGAAATCGAAGTTCGAGGGTTCGATTAGGAGTAAGGAAGGGCATACGCGTACCTCACAATCTTCTGCTTAAATACGATTGCATACTTTAAAATTGAGGTTTTAATTTAACTCATTCATTATGTTTATATTTGGGTCTTAATAAACAAGCTTAAAAAAGAGATAAATCAAATTGCAATATTTTTAACTTTTTGGACTAGAATGGACGAAGTCAAAGACATGCATGCACAATGAACACAAGTAAAAATTAAAGGGACTAGTTTGATTAAGTTTGAAACAAAGAGGACTAATTTGATAAAATTCAAAATATGAAAGACTGATTTAAAAAGAATTGATACCATGGACTAAATTGCTTGATCATAAAACTTTTGAGTGAAATTGAAATGAAAATAGATAATTTTGACTTTTGACCAAGATTAGAGGAAATTAATTAATTAAATGATTAATTTGACACTAATTAAAATTAATTAATCATATTTATTAACTTTTAATTAAAATCATTAAATATATCTAATAATTTCAAATCAAAGTCAATAAACATGATTAATTTATTTTAATTAAAATTAATTAATTTTATTAATCATAAATTAAACTAATTTACCTAATTAATTAGTAAAAAATTTCACATATATATCTTTTTTTTTTACTTTTTAACCTTTTTAGTTTTTTTTTATTATTATTGGATTGGGTGAGGTTGACCCAACCCATAAACACAACCCGCTACTTAAAATAAACAAAAATAGATCAGACACCAAAAAAAAAACAAAAAAAACTTACAATTAGGATTTATCAGTTTCAAAAGCAAGAACACATTCATCATAACAAAAAAAAAAAAAAAAAAACACATTCATCAGACAAAACGAACTGAACAATTTTTTTTCTTGATTTTTCATTCATTTTCCAACGAAACACATACAAATCTTAACATCAGATCTAAAGAAAGTAGACACCCACAGAAAAACAAAGACAAACACGGTGAAATTTTGAAAGAGAAACAGATCTGGTGGAAGGAATCCCACCTACGGGATCAAGCTTCCGCCATCTCCTTCCCCATTTTCCTAACAAAAATCCTTTGTTCAGAGCTATACCTCTTGCAACCCGTAAATCTTCTTTCTCAAACACCAATCTTCCTTCAACAGAAAAAAAAAAAAAAACTCTTAGGCCGCCCGTCAACACCACACTCAAAACCAAGAGAACCCCCCAAATCAAACAGCCAAAATCAACCAAAAGACCCCCGAGACCTCTGCCTTTTGCTTTATATATACACCCAAAAAAATGATAAAAATAAAAATAAAATGCAACAAAAAAACAAGGGCCTTGCTCTGTCAATCAATGATGCCAATTTTGTTTGGTATTGGCTGTTTTTTTCGTATGGCTGTAGTGTGCAGAAGGCAGGGGCATGGGATTGGGGCGCAGAGCAAGGCTGGTGAAGGAAGCAAGGCCGGGCGGCAAGGGCAGGGCTCGGTGCAGTAGAAGGGCGTAGGGGGGGTATGATGGCTCAGGCGTGCAGGGCATGATTGCCGATGATGGCTGGTGCAGGGTGCAGGCGATTCGAGCACAGAAAGGGGCAAGGGATTTGGTGCAGCAGAGGGGCGTAGGGGGGGTATGATGGCTTGGGCGTGCAGGGCATGATTGCCGGTGATGGCTGGTGTAGAGTGCAAGCGATTCGGATGCAGAAAAAGCAGGAGATCTGGTGCAGAAAGCACGGGATTGGGGCTAGGCTCGGTGCAGGAACAAGGCTGGTTCACGGTAACAGAGGGGCGCAGGCAGCAGGGCTAGGGGTCTGGGCTCGGTGCAGGCTGGTTCGTGCAGAGGGGGGGGTGGCTGATGATGGCTCGGCATGTGGCTGCCGGCTGGTTTGTGGGGAGGGAAGGAAAAGGATAAAATCGGGGTGAGGAGGAAGAAGGTTCTAGATCCATTTTTATTTCCCTTTTTTTCATTTTTCTTTTTTTTTTTTTTGGGTTTTGGGTTAAATGGCTTTTGGGTTTGGGTTTTGGTTTTTGTTTTGGGATTTTTGGCTTCGGTAGTTGGTAAGCTTTGGGTTTTTGGAGTGGGCTTTGGGTTTTTTGGTTTTTTGATTTTTGACTTCAATGCATTTTACCCTTCAATTTTTCATCTCTTCAATTAAGTTCCTTCTTTCTTCTTCTCCCACTTTTCGTGAAATTTCATTTTGCTTGCAAACCTAACAATGAAAGTAAAAATTAAACATATTAATTAAGATAATAAAAACTAAAATAAAATTAAAATTTTAAAAATTTTGAGTTATGACAGTTGTCCCTCTTTTCTTTTCTTTCTGTTAAGAATGAAAAGAAAAACAAGACAAGAATAACTCAAAATTTTCTTAACAACTGAATAACCAAATAGGTAAAGTAAGAAAAAGGTTAAGAAATCACAACGATTGGATGACCAAACAATTTGATGTTGAATGGTTTTTTAACTGCAACAATGAGTTGAGTAGTTACGGTCAACGACCAAGCCAATTGAGTATAAATGATTTTTTTTTTGAACAAATTAGAAACGATTTTTTAACCGAGCAAGAAATGGTTTTTTAACCAAGTAAGAAACATTTTTTTAACCAAGTGAGAAATGGTTTTTTAACCAAGTAGGGAATGGTTTTTTAGCCAAGTAAGAAACGGTTCTTTAACCGAGCAAGAGACGATCTTTTAACTGAGTAGAAATGGTTTTTTAACCAAGTGAGTCGAGTTGCTATGATCAAACGGCCGAGCTAGTTTTGAGTGGCTATGGTCAAACGACCGAGCCAATTGAGTAGAAATAGTTTTTTAACCGAGCAAGAAATGGTTTTTTAACCAAGCAAGAAACGGTTTTTTAACCAAGCAAGAAATGGATTTTTAACCGACCGATAAATGGTTTTTTAACCAAGTAAAAAAATTTTTTTTAACCGAGTGGAAACGGTTTTTTAATTGAGTGGAAACGGTTTTTTAACCGAGTGAGTTAAGTTGCTACGATCAAATGACCAAACCAGTTCAGTAGAAATGGTTTTTTAACCGAGCAAGAAATGGTTTTTTAACCAAGCAAGAAACAGTTTTTTAACTGAGCGACAAATGATTTTTGAACCAAGCAAGAAATGGTTTTTGAACCCAGCAAGAAATGGTTTTTTAACCGAGCAATAAATGGTTTTTTAACCGGGTGAAAAATGGTTTTTGAACAAAGAAATGGTTTTTTAACCGAGTAGAAATGGTTTTTGAACCGAGTAAGTCGAGTTGCTATGGTCAAACGATAGAACTATTTTTGAGTGGCTACGATCAAACAACCGAACCAGTGGAGTAGAAATGGTTTTTAAACCAAGCAAAAAATGGTTTTTTAACCAAGTAAGAAACGGTTTTTTAACCAGGCGAGAAATGGTTTTTGAACCAAGCAAGAAACCTTTTTTTTTTTTTTAACAGAGTGAGAAATGATTTTTAACCAAGTAAAAAATCATTTTTTTAACCGAGTAAAAAATGGTTTTTTTAACCGCAATGACCGAATGAGTTGATATTGAATGGTTTAAGGAGTGGACAAAGCAATGTTTGAAAAATGTGGTGACAATGAAATAGATGTAAATGAGACAAGTTTCACATATAAGATAAGGTGAAAATGAAAAAAGGTTAAGAAACTTCCCTGAACATGTGGGAAGTCCATATTCGGCGAGAGTCAAATGTGCTTTTTGTTGTGCATTCATCAACTTGTGATCATCTCTATGTAGCAGCTCAGTAGATTCATATTCATGAATACTCTATTGAATGCCAGAGATAGGATCTCATTTGTTTCCCATGAGGAGATATTTGAAAATATTGCCCCAATGGATTGAACTTTCGTTTGCTATTGGAGCTTCAACTAGCATGGATGACTCCTCAGCTTTCGAATTCAACTTCTTTCTCCCTGTAATTCTCATCCAACCTTTCAAATTTATCAAGAGATTTTGATTAGATGAGCAATTATATTAACTGAAATAGAGCCTCGTGTTCAACTAGCATTCCCAATATAGAATAAAAGGTAAGATTAGAGTAAAGTGCGAATAGAATGATTGCAAAGATTAGATTCAACCAAGGTTAGGATGATCAAAAGGTCAACTTTGAATAGTGACAAAAGAAGTCTGGCCAATAATACAAGATTTTGATGCAAATGGTTACAAGATATTCAGACCATAAATCATTGCTTCAGATCATCTTTTCTTTGCAAGTCTGCCCCTCAGTTATTTAGTCCATGAAAGAGAGTCCCATTTCTTTTCTGAATATTGACACTTCAAATCTTTCCCTTTTCATGAACTAACCCTCATGCTTAGAAGAAGGAAGTTTCCAACTGCCC